TGTGTGTGTGTGTGTGTGTGTGTGTGTGTGTGTGTGTGTGTGTGTGTCTTATCCTCTGATGCAGAAAGTGACTGATCACTCCTGACAGCCTGGAGCCGAAATCACCAGGGGCAGGAACTGACCTACTTTCTCCTTCCTGGGCTGGAAATATTTATGTAACAGACAGCCACAGGGCCCTGCTGTCCCCATGATGGGTAGGAGATGCCCCAGACTAGCCACAGTGTGAGCCAGTTTATGGCCCTTGCAAATCAACTTCAGCAGAAAAAGGGCTTCCTGTGAAGGGGACTTGGCTCGGCTTATCACAGTGTATCTGCGTAGACAGATGTAAGTTATTTGATGTTACATGAGTCTCCTGAGCCAGATGCTTGTTTCCTGCAGAGCTCCTTCATGATGAACTCTAGCTGGGGTCCAGCACTTCTTTTGGCCTATGCAAATGCCCTGGTCAGCAGAATTTCCTGTCTGCCTGTGCTTTTTGCACAAAGCATCAAGCAGCCACATAAGACATCAACTTACAGAGAGCTGCTCAAGCCCAACCCATAGAGCTGAGGTCCTGCATTCCTGATCTGCCTTCTCTCCTCATGCTCTCCAGCCCCAGACTATCTTCGGATAATGGACAACTCACGTCTCTTGCTTCTAGAAACCTTTGTGTAGCCACTCTTTCCCCATCCAGTCCCCCGGCCTCCTGCTGTATGTACCAGCCTAGTTAGCATTGCTGGTATTTCTCTGATGAGGGTGAGCCATCTTTTTTGCTTGCTATGTCATAAGGTACTTGCCCAGAGCCTGTGGAGAACTCAGCGATGAGAGCTGCTCGCCATGAAGGCCTGATTTCAGGTCACCCGTGTTGGCATAGTCATCATGTCACTTTCGCACATGCGCTGTCTTGTACCTACAACTTATCTTTGCCTGCAGATAATAAGCTAAAGCCTTAATTTACCCCCATAAAGCTAGCCATTAGAGGTTGTCCACAGACCCGCACAGACCAGCACTGTGCCAGGAGAGCATCTTGACTTTAGTGGAAGAACAGCAGCAGTTCAGTGACCAGAGACTGAATTCACATTAGAGAAGCTGTCGGTAACTGGGCATAAGATGACATGAGTTATGTGACTTTTCAAGAGTCTTTCTAGATGGCTGAAGGCAGAGAGGCCGTCAAGGGAGGAAGGCCATGGTACCCTAGAGCCTGCTCCCTGATGTGACAGGAACGTAGACAGAAGAAATGCTGGAAGAATGGAGACCCACCAGGCTGGGTAGGATAGCAGTGGCTTTCTCCAGAACTCATCTGAGTTGTCTGGCTTCTAAGAGAGGCATCCTTTAAGGTGGAGGAAACTGAGTCTAGAGGGCTTAAGTGATTGGCTCAGGGTCACATGGTTAGGACCCAACTCTGTGCTTGTCCTGTGGTAGTGACAGTGGCATACCCACTCCCCTGGAGGCTGAACAGGGTTCTAGGTCCAAAGTTCTGTGTCCATGGTCATGGCTGTGCCTTTTTGTTTCAGGTGACGCCATCTGGGCCCCATCCATCCTTCCTCACGGCACCCTCAGCACCTTAAGCCACCACCCTGAGCTACACTTTGGAGGGAAGATGGAATCCAAAGTCTCGGAAGGTGGCCTGAACGTGACCCTGACCATCCGCCTACTGATGCATGGAAAGGTGATGTGGGCTTTGGGAAAGCGGGCGCTGCCTGCCAGGGATTGCTCAGTACTTCTCCTCTTTCTACACAGTCGCCAACCCACAGAGCTGTTGCATGTACAGTTCAAATTACACTTTTCTCAGAGCTGCTACAGACTGGTTGGCCTAACCTGTACCTCAATACCTCCTCACCACGGCCCAGCAACTCAGGCCTTAGCCTGGGGCTGTGTTTTCTTCTACCCTGAGAAATCTAGCTCCTGGCACTTATGCAGGATTTCCTTCCAAGGCTGGCCGCTAGAACAACAGTTCTGAAATATCCAGCTTCCCAGGAAGCGAGTCCCCTTGCACCCGGACATCCCTTTTCTGTGGTGGAGAGTGCCCTTTCCTTTCTTCTTGTAGCACATTTCCACATGGGAATCTTTACAGATCTGCCTCTAGTTCCTATGGCAGGAGGGCTAGAGCTAACCACTCCCTCCTCTTGTTTCCTGAGCCCACGCCACGCCTCCCACTCTGACTGGACCAGTAGCAGCTCTGGATTTCTGAGGGCTTGCCTAGAGTGAGAAAAGCAGGTCAGACTTTGAAAGAGGTTTTCTTACATGGCTGGAAGTCAGGCTGATCCTGTCCCAATCAACACACCATGGTAGAACCTTCCTGGGACTGTTCTGTGGGCTGGATACACACACACACACACACACACACACACACACACCTCACAGACACATGTCCAGCTGCAGGATTTGTCAGGGGCTTCTCCAAGTGTCCTACCTCATAAATCAAGACCCAGCAGCAGCGCTGTTTTCTTAGGCAGGGGTTTTTTTGAGGCCTTAAGTGCAGGAGTGACTTTCCCTCCTTGTTTATCAAGGAAGCAGCTGACTGTGTCTATGTTCTGCTCCCAGGCAGTTTGCTGATCAAACTCAGTTTCCTCTGGCCAGCTAAGGACAGCCGGACACAGACATGTCTCTTTGACGAGAGTTTCAGCAGGCGTATGGCTCAGTGGCAAAGTACCTGTCCAGTACATACAAGGCCTTGGTTCCATCCCCAACACTGTAAAAACCTCCTTTCTCCCTCGCGCCAGATAGACTGTATTTCGAAGCGTCAGCTCCAGAATGCACTGTGACATCATCTTTCTGTGTTTTTTCCCCCTACAGGAAGTTGGAAGCATCATTGGGAAGGTAATTACTGAGTGAACTTTACCTATCTTGGGGGTCTCTGTAAGGTGATAGACAAAGGCAGCAGTAGCTTCTGGTATTGACTGGCCCCAGCAGATACACAGCCCCTGGCGGGCAATAGAGCACTACACTAGAGGAAGTGAGTGTCCCAAGGAGCTCTGCCCGGGCAGACCTGTCGACGCCGCTTCCCTGCTTAAACTACCGTACACGAATCTTGTTGTTGGCTCTGGAAGAACCATGTGGGGAGCATCCTTCCTCGGCCCTGGCAGGGTCCCAGCTAGTCACTTTCAAGCTTCCTTTTATCGCTTCGGTGACTGGTGCATCCGGGCTTCAGACCCCGGGAAGCATTACTGTGCTTGTGTTCTTCAGTGTCCTGTAACCCAAACATCCTCCGGTAGTTTAGTAACTCCTCTTTATACACCTAAAGCAAAAGACGAGTCCATGGGTGGGGTGATCAGAAGCCTGCCGTGTGAAGGAGGAGAGGCTGGGCAGGCACTGCCCTCCTGGCATGCTGTATTTTGGTCATCTGTCCTAACCCTGCGCCTCTCCAGTAGAGGAGCTTCTACCTGCTCGATGTCCCAACTCTGTTAACATTTCTGTGGAAAGGGTTTCTCGGGGCATCACCACTCATGAAACAGGGTGTGTGAAGCAGCTATAACCCCTGCCGGGCAGCCTCTGGCAACAGACCCACCCTGGTACCATATCTGACTGAAGTGCTATCATGAAAACGGGCCTGAGTCTGATCAAAGCCTGCCCACGTGGCCAGCTCTGCCACAAGGTGACTGTACCTCCCTTCCCATGCCTCAGCTTCTTCATCTGAAGTGCCCTGGATTGTGCAGCCCTGTGAGTGTAGAGACCAGCTAGCTCATGGGGGAGGTGAGGACAGGGAACAGACTCGAGGCAGGCAGCACCTCATCACCCTCACTGTGCTAGGGCTGCCAGCAGCCAGGGCTGGGCTCCTCCAGGCACAGGTCCCCCCCACCTGCCAGTGACAGACTTCCTTATCTGTATCTATTCCAGAAAGGAGAAACGGTGAAGAAGATGCGTGAAGAGGTGAGTGCTTGCCACCCAGATGTCATCCTCTCTCTAGGCCAGGTTGGCACTGCCTGTGGCTCTCATGAACCTTCTCCCTGTATCAGGCACGGCAAAGCAAAGAGAGGCAGACCTCTCTGACATGCTTACATGTATAGAGGGTTCATCTGCAGAGGGCCTAAGTTCTCCTAGGGACCACTGGGACTCTTGCTAATTAGAATTCTAGCTGGGCAGTGGTAGTGCACACCTTTAATCCCAGCACTAAGGAGGCAGAGGCAGGCATACCTCTGAGTTTAAGGTCAGCCTGGTCTATAGAGTGAGTTCCAGGACAGCCAGGGCTACACAGAGAAACCCTGTGTTGAAATAACAACAACAAAAAACTCTACTCAGGTAAGGCATGATAACTCATACCTGTGATCCTAACACCAAGGAGACAGAGGGAAAAGAACCGAAATTCAGTACCATTCTACACAGGAAGTTTAAGGCTAGTTTGGTTACATGAGACCCTGCCTTAAAAAAACAAACAACAACAACAACAAAAAACCCTTAAAATTTCAATTTGCTAGGGCTTTCTGGCAAGGATTTCATTGTTTAAAATGAGAGTTCTCAAGTGTGTCTCAGCCTTAGCATCTATGCCTGAAGTTGTCTGCAAGCCTGGAGAAGCCAGGCCTGCACAGAACAGCTTTTCTCCTGCCAGCTGCATTTCTTCTCCTCTCGCCTTAGAGTGGTGCCAGGATCAACATCTCAGAGGGAAACTGCCCAGAGAGAATCGTCACCATCACCGGCCCAACCGATGCCATCTTCAAGGCCTTTGCCATGATCGCATACAAGTTTGAGGAGGTAAGGCACAGGCTGGAGCCTGCATGAGGCCTGCTTCCAGCTGCCCCCACCATTCGTCTGTTTGCCTCACCTGGTTGAGGCACTGGCTTACTTTGTGACAAGGCTGCTTTGGAGTTCTCTTCACCCTCAGTGCCTCAGGTGTTCACCCCTGCCTCTGTCCAGTGCCCACCCTTCTCCGTAAAGCTGGCCGCTTCTATTGTGTTCCCAGTGGAGAAGCCCACCTCCTTTGTTTCCCAGGCACCATGCAGAGCCTCAGAACACAGGCCTCCTACCTCCCAACATGCCTGCCATTGCGTGTCTTAGGCTGTACTCACACCTGTAGGGTCCAGCTGGCTCTGTCTGGCACATGGCCCCAGACGAAGCCCTAGGCTCAACTCTGGTCTCAGCTACACATGCTGCAGCAACCCCCTCTCCCACCCCAAGAGTTTATATAGCTGTGGCTTAGCTGGAGACAGAAGTCAGTTTTCATGTCAAGAGATGTACGCATATACATGTATGTGTCTATGTAATACTTCTGTGACTCAGTGAGTCACTCTTCATGTTTTTAGTGTTTCTATTTAACATTTAGTCACATATGGTGACCAATCTGTCGTATTTTTTCTGTCATAAGTGAAGGGTGATTGTCAAATTACGAGGTGGGCTTTGTGAGTGAGAATAAGAAGACTGTAAAGGCGGAGCTCACGCTAGCAAGGAGTCGGCCTCTGTCATTTGTCACTGGAGGAGGACAACATCACATAATGGACAGAGAGAAGAGTTTAGGTATGCTGTAAGGGTGGCCGTGGGTATGAGGACTAGAGATGCCCGACTCCCTGGCAACCAGGCATCCTGTAAGAGTCGTGAGAGCAAGGATTTTCTTTCTCTGGTGATCCCTGACTTAGAATTAGGAGCAAGCCGTAGGGAAAATATGGGTACCCAAGCTTTGGCCATCCTCAGTTGTGGCCACAGAGGCTGCTACAGATGTATGGGCCATTCTCATGCCACCCACAGCCTGGGCATGAGTTTTCATGCTGAATTCCTCATGTACCCTTGCAAGAGGCCAGCCAATAAGTAAAGGCTTACGAGCAAATGCTCATTATGCAGGGTTCAGATGCCTTGGTGGCTGCCGATGTTGGAAGACCGCCTTGGCCTTTTTGTTTCTGTGTCATGACCATCAGGTACTGAGTGTATGATTCTTTAGAACATGTAGGGTCCTAGTAGAAATCACACGGCCACCATGACAGAAGCAAAAGCTGTTTACAATCCCTCAAAGGTGCTTTGAATCCAAGAGCTCTGATGCCCAACCCAGGCCAAGAGAACCACCTAGGGACTGTGAAGTTCAACATGGTAGATCTGTCCTCGAGGTGCTGTGTAGCTGCTCTTTGATCCCAGCATATCAGGGAGTAGTCCCAGTGGCACAGATGCTGCCATGACCAGCCTGGAAGAAGTCTAGAGTAAGCTGCCATCTAGCGCTGCTTGGCCAGTGGGTGGGAACAGTCCACCAAACACCTGGGGTTCAGACGCATTAGTCACTTCTGCCAGAAGCAGGCAGGACTCGAGTAGTCTTTTCTCCAGTACAACCCATCAAGGGAGCTCAGCTCTGGTGGTTCTCTGAGCAGTGGGCTAGTGACTTGTGGGAGAGGGCCGAGTGATTACACCAGCCTTGTCTTGAAATACCTGGCATGAGGATCTGAGGAGGTAAGGGTCCATATCCAGAGAAGTCTTGCATCTTTTCCTGCAGTGCCCAAGAACCTGTCTGAGACAGGTATGTCCTGGCCCCAGAGGCAGTGATGCCTGACAGAGGCCCCTAGAAGCCAGAAAAGAGTTGCTGCTGAGTACGGATCTGGATGAAGCTCCGTTGGCAGGGTCATGACTTGGATTTTGTTAAATTTAAAATTACCTGATTGATAAACTCTAATGATTGCTTTCCTAGGAGGAAGATAGGCTGCCAAGGCATCGTTGAGCATGTAGGGCCAGATGCCTGTGTCATTGTGAGCAGAACGCCATTGCGGCCATTCCCTTTGCCTCAGTGGACGAAAGCAGAGTTGCCAGTTCAATCCTAAGCTCTAGGGATCCGTGGTATTCTGGGAGGTTGAGGGCTTCGGCTACTCTTTGGGTCCTCTAAGAATGGAATTAGAGTATGTTCTACCCTGGTTTCACAAAATAAGAAGAGATGAGGCGCTTGCTAACTAATGGCCATTTGATAAAGGAGAGGATGACGCACTGCTCAGGTTCTACCAGTGTCCTTGACCTGAGTTACCCTCTTACAAAACGAAAGGGTTTATTTTGGCTCACAGTTCCAGAGTTGGTAGCCTGTGGTGGAACAGGACCACTGCTTTTAGGCTTCTGGTGGGAGTGGGCCATAGGAGTTCGTGGTTCTGAGAGGAGTACATACATGGATACCTCATGGCTAGGACATGAAAATAAGAAAGAGGCTGGCTCCCCCGCCACACTTCGATAGCACACCTCTGATGAGCTAAAATCTCCACAAGGCCCATCTTAGGTTTCTGCCCCCTCCCAGTAGTGCCAGCTGAGGACTAGGCCTTTAACTTCAGAGGACATTCCCAACAAAGTTTTACTCTTAGCCCTTAAAGGCTTAGATCTATCTTATAACACAAGATTCATTCAGTCCAAACTCCCAAAGTCATAGCTGTTATAACATTTAATCGAAGCCTGAGTCTCGGAGAGGACAAAGGCAAAGTGCTGTGAGCCCTTACAGAAATCCCAAATTATATACTCGAGATAAACAGTGAAGACTTTACCATTTCAGAAGGAAGGAATTGGGGAGAAATAGGGTAGAATTGGACCAAAGCACAAGACAAACAAAACAAACAAAAAAACCAGCCCAGCAAGGCGAGCACTAAATCCTGTAGTTCTAGGTTGATCTGATGGCTGTGGGAGGGCTGAACCAGTGGACGCTGCCAACTGTGAGGCCCAGGCCTCTGAAGTGGCTGCTGCTTCAACTGTCGAGCAGAAGTTAGAGGCACTTTGCTCTGAGCAACCAGCACCTAGGGCTCAGGAGCCTGGTACCTGTCAAAGTCTGTTGAGCTTAGCGTTAGAGTATTGTGTCTGCGTGTGGTGTTGTGCAGGGTTCCGCAGGTCTGTGGGCCGCACTGCACCGTGTCGGGTTCACACGTCGCCCACTGGGTCTTCAGTTACCACGTTGCCGAGTGGTACAAATGGTGCCAGTGAGATTGGATTCATGTGGTGCCCACAGGATCCAGGCCAGTGCTTTTCCAGCCACGAAGCCAAAGCTGAGGCCAGCACTTGTTCAGTTGTCCAGCTGTGCCCATTGCCTTGCTTGCCACCGCCACCCTGCGCTGCGGTCTCTGCTGCTCTCCTCGTTGTGGTAGCCTGCCCTACTAAAAGTAGGCAAGGGACAACCACTCATGAGACATCCTTACTGGGGACCTGATGTTCCAACACCAGGAGGCAACTCAGGAGGCCCTTTCAGCTGAGTCCTTGAGTAAGCCCGAGCCGCCTGCTTAAGAGCCTGAAAAGGAGTGTTTGGACCAATCACCGTCATTAAGGTTTGTATTTGGAGTAATCACAGCCTCCCCACTAGTGAAAAGAGAATACTGCTTCCACCAGGAAGAGTGTGCCCCCTCTGGCCAAATGGTTTCTCGGGGCTTGTAATCACGAAAGGTCTGGTACAACTAAAACAGCCCTGGCTAAGGCTGCTCCCTAGGAGCCAGAGCAGTTGGCTGTCATCTCGTGCACTGGTTGTCTCAAGGTATCCGTGTGTGTTCAGGTGGCTGGCACAGGTGTAAGGGCAGCCAGCTGTTTGACTCACAGTCGTTTTTGTTCGAGGCAGCTTAGATAGCAAAAGAAAGTTCGATAGCTTCTAATCAGGGAACCAAAACTTCATATCCCTAATGATGGGCATTAAAAAGAATGATTATAATAAGCTTGTAGAACTTATCATTAATACTATTACTAATTTTAAAAGTTTAGAAAGTGCTTTGAAAACTTGTCCAGTATCCAGGGATGTGGATACACCTCTTCTTCTTCACTTGGACACAATGTCATGGCTTCTAAGTATCCTCCGGGTTTTAGGCCTAGGCAGTCCTGGATGGGCAAGGCACCCCAGAGCTCTCTTCTTCAAGAGCCTGCTCTGGAAAGTGTTTGAAACAATTTGCACTTATGCATCTCTGCGCCTATGCTGACAGTGGCCATGCTACGTGTTTTATTTCTCCCGGGCATCTTCGCTGTTGCCCTGGTACAAAGAACTTGAATTCAATTTTGTGGCACTTAAGTATCTGTCCCCACTCTGTCACCCTTTGCTGTACTTTTGACCATGTTCCTTCTCTGGAAAAATTGCAGATTTCCAACTCTTTCTGCTTGTTTTGTTTTTCTCTCTTCTGTGGTAGGAAATTGAACAGGGTCCTGAGCAAGCCCGGAAAGCACTCCAAACTGAATTGCACTTTGCCTGCTCTTTATTTTCACTTCTGATTATCACTATAAATTTGGTTAAGAGCAGCCATTGTTATCCATTTTGTGTGCATGTGTGTGTGTGTGTGTGAGAGAGAGAGAGAGAGAGAGAGAGAGAGAGAGAGACTGTTTGTTGCCTTGACATTTCCAGCCTTTACTCTATTCTCAGCAGAGTCCTCATTTCTACTGAAACCTCATCAGTGTGGTCCTTCCACATTGATGCCCCAGCAGAATCATGTCCAAGCTCTGCCTGAACCATTCCATGCCATTGCTAGATTGGTTCTCCAAACTCCTCTCATAAAACAGTTCTAAAGCCTCCAGTGCATTATTAAGGGTAGTCCAACAATACTATTCCTTAAAACCAATGGTTGCTGGACAGGTTTTCAGTACAGTAACAACTACCCAAGATAAACCAGCTTATAAAGAAGAGGCTTATTTGGGCTCGTGGTTTTAAGAGGGTTTACTCCACAATTAAGTGTAGACATTGCTTTTGGGACTCAGGTTGTTGGAGTTTTTATCATATCATGGCAGGTGCATGTGATACAGCCAAACCATTTGCCCCATAATCAAGATGCAAATAAAAGGCAAAGAAGGAACTGAACGCCAACCCTTCAAGGACACGCCCCCAGTGATATCAACGTCTCCTACTAAGCCCCACCCCTTAAAGTTTCCATCGCCTCCTATATTGGTTACATTTCTTGTTGCTGTAGTGAAGTACCCAACAAAAAGCAACCGAAAGGGGGAAGGGTTTGGCCTATAGGTCAAGAGCACTGTCCATCATGGCGGCAGGAACGTGAGACAGCTGCTCACAGTACATCCATCAGAAAGCAGAGATGAGTGTTGTTACATTCATCTTCTCTTTTCATTCACTCTGCCGCTCTAGACCAAAGAATGGTGATGTGCACATTTACATTGAGAGCCGTGGAACCTCAGTTAAGCCAATCCAGACACACCCAGACACGCCCGGAGTCTGGTCTCCTAGGTGATCCTAGATCCTGTCAAGTTGACAGTTCAAAATTAACTATCACACCTCCCAGAAAGCAACACAGGCTGGAAGCCAAGCCTTTAACACTAGGACCTTTGGAGGACATTCCAGATGGAAGCTCTAACAAATGGATTAGGTACGGATGTTGGAATGATAAAGCTCAGTCTGTCATTCACACTTAACAGCTTTCTGTGGTTGTCTGAATTTAGGTCTGTATTGCTGATCCTAGAGGGTCTCTGAGATGTACTGGAAAGACTTTTCTCCTATATGAAACACTGGATTGTGGTTTGTGCTGAGAAACATGAAGCTAAGGTTTAAGCATCAGCTCTCTGGAGTTTCACTGCTGCTGCATTTTTTGGTAATGGTGAGATACAATCGCCTCCATGAAGCTCTAGAGCCGCGTTCCTTGAGGAGACAGCGCCTCCTGGTGGAAGGTATAGAGCGGTGCCTGGGGAGCAGCCTCAGCCTGAGTCCTCTGCATCATATTTGCCACCTTTGCCTGTAGCAGGACAGTGTGGCATCAGCATGGAATCCTAAACTCACCAGGAAAAAGGGATCTGCAAGCAGTGGGCAGTATAGCCATAGAGTTGGTTTATTTGTCTTTGGCCTAAGGATTTCGAGGCATCCTGGGAACTCTGTTTGTTTTATGCCAGGGACTAAACTGAGAACCTGGCACATTCTTAGCCCATGCTGTCGCTGAACTACACCCCAAGTCCTGAAAGCGCTGCTAATTGTAATTGCCACTGATCCTTTCTGCTTCCCAGAACACTGGTAATGAGGCAGTGTTAGTAATGGGTAGCCAGCTCCACAGTACTGCCCCCTGGAAAGCATTGTACCCGGTATTTTGTATAAAAGTTGATGTGCTCCCCTCCATGAAATAAAACCAGGCTATTTTTAGCAGCTTTTGAAACACACATATAGTCAATAAAACACCCTTGATCCAAGAGACCGGAAACCATATATAAAACCTACTGGGAGTAGTTCAGAGGGCCTGAGCCAAGTCTCGCCTTCTCATTTCTTCCATCCTTGTTTTGCTAACAAGGCGGCACATGGCCTGAAAATGTCCTGTCTCTTGCAATCTCTCTCTAATGTTTTCAAAGTACCAGCCAGTCTTTTCCTGTCGATGACAACATAGCACATGGCAGACACACCACAGCCACCACAGGGATGAAAGGTTGTGCCGCAAGTCTATGCTAGATGGCAACCAAAAGCAGCCCCCAGGCTGGGGATGAACGGAAGGGTAGCTCAATAGCACAAAGGTGGGTCCAGAATGAGCAGTAGGCGCAGAGGCTTCTGGGTCCTCTGTCTGGATAGAGGCAGGGTCCAGGACAAGGAGAAATGGAGGAACATGAACAAGCTGCCCACATGGAGCAGCTGGAGTGGCGAGGGCAGAGCTGGATGGACAAGGAGTTAGCCACTCTCCCTGGAACAGCTGAAGGGTCTAGGCAAGAACAGCAACTCACTAGGAGCAAGGCTCCCTGGTGATCACCCAGGAAAAGTAGGGATTTGTTAGTAGATAGTTGGGAATTAGAAGTAGAGCTGGACATGAGGAAAGGCATGTGGTCAAGTCCTGGCCGTTTAGCCCCGCACTCCAAATGCTTGGGCGCGGCTTTCTAGAAGGGCGGTATATGTTCTCAGCCTCTTTCCCGCAAACGGGGCTGCCTCCTCTGTAGTCAGGCTCCCTGATGCAGAGGTTCCTCTGGGCTTTCCTGGAAATGGGGTGTTGGACCCTCACAATTCCATCTGACCAGCTGTAAAAGACCCTCAGGAGTGTCCTCCAACCTACTCTCCGCTGACCCTAAGCAAGTCTACCTCATGCATCTGTCTAGGTCCTTGCTCCCAACAGATTTTCTTGATGAGGTCAGATTTGACCATGTACCTTCTTAAGCTGCGCCCTGCCCTGAGTCCCCTGTGACTCACTGACTACCCAACCTTGCAAATTCGTGTGCATAGTTGGCACATGTGGGCATCTGGCCCATGTTTCCTGTTCCTTCTAAGCTTGGCCTGGCTCTGAAGGTTCCATGATTGCCAGGACCACCTTCTGAGTGTTTTCTCTATGCGGGAGAGGGTCCCGTGAGTTCTTCCCAGTGTGCAGTGAAGCAGGTGGAGGCAGAGATACTGCATACCTGTCCTTGCGGTGTCCCTGAGCCACACAGCTGTGCTCATGAGCATGAGTCCAACGTGGCTGTTTTCTTCCTCCCTAGGACATCATTAATTCCATGAGCAACAGCCCTGCCACCAGCAAGCCCCCAGTGACACTGCGACTAGTGGTCCCTGCCAGCCAGTGTGGGTCCCTGATCGGGAAAGGTGGCTCCAAGATCAAGGAAATCCGGGAGGTACTGCTCACCCCATTGCATGTCTCCACAGTGTGCAAGTGCACGCACGGATGGCTGAGACCCTGAGGGTTCCAAACTGGTGTGCACCCATGAAAATCAGACTTTCTGGTGAAAAGTGGGATGTGGGGAACCTTGCCACGTTTCCATGAGCACACAGTGTCCTGTCCGGGAGTAGCCCTGCTTTGCCAAGGACAAGAACAAAGATGGGGGTGGAGGTCCTTGGACCTTCATGATTTAGCACCCAGGTTCTGTGGCTCTGGGCACACTCACACTTGGTTCTGTGCCTGTAATGTGCCTCTTTGTCCATCAGATCCTGCCTCCTACACTAATGAGCCTGAACTTGATGTGGGTTTGACATTGAAAAAAATGTTACTTCAAGGAAGGCCAAGTTCGTCCCTTAACCAGGAGGGCAACCATCCTCTCTTGATTCCTTCCTATCCTCTTCTGTGACTTAGAAGATGCCAGGACACCTAAGTCTTGGCCAGTGCCAGGTTCACCCTGTGTGACTCTGTAACATTGTCACTAAAGTTTTATGTGTACCTCACTTTTCCTGAGGATTTAACTAGTCACTTGAGGCGTGTGGTAGCCAGTTATCAAGAGCTGGCAAATCGCAGGTCTGGCTTCCTGGCCTCCATGTGACCTACTTCCATGGAGGGAGAAGAATCACTGTGTTGGAAAGACTAGTTCTATTTCCCTGTAGATGGTCTCTACAGATTGAGAGCCTCCTGAGATGAGGCAGCACCTTTTCTGGAAGTCACAGTTCCCTAAGAGGATGTGCAGGGGCAGGATCGAAGGACAGGTGACAGGAAGGTGACATTTGGGTGCTAAGATGAGGGAAGGGAGGGCACTGTGACCAGTTAAGGCCCTGCTTTTCTTTTTATTTTTCTTTGTTTTTTTGTTTTGTTTTGTTTTCTGATTTTGAGATAGGGTTTCTCAGGGTGTCCTGACACTCACTTTGTAGATGAGACTGGCCTCAAACTCACAAAGATTCACCTGCCTCTGCCTCCCAAGTGCTGGGATTAAAGGCATGTGCCACCAGTACCTGGCTAAGGCCCTGTTTCTAATGAAGGATTTTTCACGGAACAGATCACCCTGAATGCATCTCCAAGAGCTGGAGGTGCTGTTCCTCTTGTATGTCTTGTTCTTTCAAAGGCCCTTCTCTGCAGTCCACAGGTGCTCAGGTCCAGGTGGCAGGTGACATGCTGCCCAACTCCACAGAGCGGGCAGTGACTATCTCAGGGACCCCAGATGCCATCATCCAGTGTGTGAAGCAGATCTGTGTGGTCATGCTGGAGGTACAGTATGAACATTGTGAGCCAACACACATCACCTGCCCACCTTGCTCAGTGCTGGGCTCGCTCTCCATGTGACTCTGTAGCTTTGTCACTAAGGTGCCTGCACATCAGTTGACCTGAGAAATCCTAGAGTCACTTGGGGTGTGTGGGGATCAGACATCAAGGACAGACAGATTCCCAGACTTGGGCTTCCTGCCCTCCAGCAGGAGCCAGGCAGGCTGAAGGGATACCCTTGAAAGTGTCTCCTGATGTTAGCCTGTGGCCATCATCTTGTCTGGCTGTAAGTGGGGGGCGGGGGTGGACAAATCACGGGGTTTTGGCCTTGGCAGTGGCAGGTGTGGGGAAGTCCCCTGCCTCTCAGGCCATCCAGCACAGCAGGCCTATAGGTCTGCAGATGTCAAGAGAACTACTGTGCTGTCCTCAGGGTGGGACTCGGGATAGACCCAAAGAAAGAGAAAGAGGTGGGAACAGAGGGGTAAGACAGAAGAAAGGAGGAGCCGCGGGACAAGGACATCAGTCAAGGATGGAGGATCCACAGGAGCTTCTGCACTTGCGCCCGTCCCTCAAGCTTCTTCTGCAAGTAAGACCATTTGAAGCGTGCTGACCTCTGCCCTCCCACAGTCCAAGCTGAGGCCACTGCCACATCTCCACAGAACACGACTGAGCAGCTGCTGTGTCGTCTTTTCTGTGACATTATGCTCAAACCTCACACTTAACTCTTTTTTTTTTTAATGTTTGCATAGTCTTAGTTTCCTCAAGCGTATTTTGTGAAGTTAAAGATGTTTTTCAAAATGTCATTCTTGTGCAGTTTTCCACACATACTGGTCAGGGTGATGGGATGGTTCCATCACAGGAGCCCAGCAGCTGGGGGTCATCACTAAGGACTTGCTTCTCCTGGTACTGTCATCTGCCCCAAGCAGGGCAAAACACATGATCAGCTCAGTGGCACCCTTGGGGTGACAGTCTTCAGGAGCCAGCAGCCCCCTTCTCAGGACACAATATGTGTCCTCGTCAGAAGCTCCAAGCGGACTTCTGGGCTAATAGTAGTGGGCAAATACCTGGGGCTGTGTGTCAGAACTCACATCTCTAGATGGTATGAGGTATGAAAGAAGCCATGGCCTTGCACATTGTGGCGGTCAGCAGTGGAGGCTGACCTATCAGGGACACCCCACTCTCATTTGCATGAAGCAGTTTGCGAAAGCTGAAGGGTGTGGTCTCCTTCACCAGGAAGGAAGACATCATCTTGAAAAGAGCCTCACTTCTGCCTGAAAAACAGCAAGAAAAAAGCAAAAGATGGATCCAAGACCCTGTTTTTCAAAGGCCTTTCAAGCTTGCTAGAGCGCTATACCTTTTGTATCCCCACAATCACAAAAAGCCCCACCCTCAGGAGATGTACTTGGGTGAGGCCTGCAAAGAAAGCAAGTGTTGCCATTATGGACTTCTTGCCTCCCAACTCTGGTGCCTCATGCGCCTGTGAGGAGTAGCCAGCGGGCCTTGCCTACCCAGGGGATGTTGAAGGTGTGGCCCAGAAGGTCACTTTTCTGTGGGTAGCTAAAAATGAAACTGGCCCTTCTGAGTGGGCACAGGGAGCCCCTGTGTTAGGAGGGAAGCAGCCTGGAGCCCAGGCGAAGGTGACCCTAGGATCTGGAGCACTTGGCAGGAAAAATGGAGCAGCTACAGTAGGTGCTGGACACAGTAGAGCACCTGCATAACCTTGTACCAAAGGTGCCCCAGCAAACAAGGTTTACACAGAGGCTCTACTGTAGGCTTTTTTTTTTTTTTTTTTTTTTTTTTTTTTTTTTTTTTTTTTTTTTTTGTTTTTTTTTTTTTTTTTTTTTTTTTTTTTTTTTTTTTTTTTTTTTTTTAAGGGCCACAGCAATGGGAATATGGGCATTTCTTTCAAGGGCCAGCTCAGACAGTGTCTTTTGCCCATTGCTGTCAGCTCCAGAGTAAGGAATATTCCAAGGGCACACCCTCAGTGGGCTCCTGGAGGCTGTGGCCACTGTCCTTGCAGAGACAGCCTGTGCTAAAGTTACTCGTTGCTGTAACAGAAACCCGATAAAAGTGACTTACATGCGGGACACTTTATCATGGCTTATACTGTGGGGAGGGGGGTTGTTAGCGACCATCGTGGCAGGAGCGGCATGGTGGCAGGAGCAGAGGACACCCGGGCATGCTGCAGCTGCAGTCAGGAGGCCGAGAATAATGGCTGCTAGTGCACAGCTTACTTTCTCCTTTTTATCCAGCCCAGGACTCCAGCCCACAGAATGGTGTTCCCCAGGCATGCTCAGAAGCTAACCTAATGTAGATAATCACCACAGGCATGCCATCCCCAGAGGCTCATCTCCTAGGCTAGCCTGTCAAGTTGTGAATGTTAATCCTCCTTGATCTGCCACATAGCCAAGAGCTCCAGACTTTCTGCCATGCTGGCTTCAGCTAGTGTCTGGAGCTGGAGGAGGTGGAGCAACCTCTGACCAGCGCGGAGAGGATAAGGTGGGACTTGTTGGCACCCGAGGACAGCACTCATCTGAGGGGAGAAGCCTGAGTTCTGGATCCAAGGGTTATCAAGGAAAACTGTAGCAGACTTCATCACGGTGGAATCCCATTTGGGCCTCTGCAAGCTACCTGGTTTCTCACTGGTGAAATGGAATGATTCTAAGGTGTTCTAATCGGCCACCTCTGTAGGCCAAGCGGAACTTGGGTTGCTACACGTCAGTTCCCAATGTGAGTTGTGCTCAAGACTGGCTTTTCCCAGGGACTCAAGACTGTGTTTTATCAAAGGATGCAAGCTCATCCTCTGCAGTCTCTGCCATATCTACCATCAGGTCCCTATGGGACCACACCAGGAGGGAAGGGTGGTGTGGTACACAAAGCTAATGGGAGTCAGCAGCTAACAAGCAGGCGGTCCAACTACATCAGCTCTCCTGTGGAACCCCACTCCTGCCTGGCTGGCCACAGGGTCTATTCAGGATAAGTAGCAAACAGTGCGAGCTTGAGAGAAGCAATGCCCACCCCAAGGAAGAAGGCAGTGAAGATGTAGAGTTCGTCCTGCCTCAGTGTGCTGAGGACAGACTCATCACCTTTTTATGTCCCTGGATGCTCCTCCCCTCACTGTTGTGGCCTGTGGAGCCTTGGCTGGCCACATCTGGAGGGGTGGGGGGGTCCCACAGAGGGGTGGGTGTGGGAAGGCAGCCCAAGGCCAACAGCAAAGCTGTTCTAACCGCTCTCTCCCTCTCCTGTCCCTTTTCCTAGTCCCCACCGAAAGGTGCCACCATTCCCTACCGCCCAAAGCCCGCCTCCACCCCTGTCATTTTTGCAGGTGGTCAGGTAAGAGCCGACCCGCTCGCGGCCTCCACTGCCAACCTCAGCCTTTTACTGCAGCACCCGCCGCTGCCCGTTAGTGCACTCAGGTTTTCTCGCCTTCTCACGTGCACGTCTCCCACCCTGCGATGGACACAGAGCTCTCTGGCTCACACCAGGCGGAGGGTGGGAGGGGCTTGGGGAGGCATGACTGCAACTCACAGCTATATCCCGGAGACACATTGCCCAGCGAGATCCCTGAGTGAGACAGGAGAGACACACAGACCCATGCAGATTTAGGTGCTGCCTAGCAACGCCTGGCAGACCTTCTTTGAAGATTTGCTGGGCACTTAGGTAGTGGACAGAAACATCCTGGGTGATTATGGCTTGGGTTTGAATCCTCTAGAGCTACATCTGAGACTCGGGGAGTGGCAGGCACATCCCTGTGAGGAGATGGATGGCCTCAGGCTAGCCCATGTTCCCCTGTGGCTGGGATCCACCCCTGGCTACCCCCTTGCCTTACTGGGTAGACATCCTCACAGGCAGAGCTCACATTCACAAACCTCATCCTTGAGTTGGTGACCAGCATCTGTCTCCTAGAGCAGGGGGTTGGAAGGTAGAGGGGAAAAGAGCTTGTGTCTGGAGCAGCCCTGGCCAGAAAGGACAGGGACTGGAGAAGGCCCCAATCCGGCTTCCTTACATGCTCACTGAAACTCAGATAACCCCCGTTAGATCCACAAGACCCGACCCCAAAAATGACTTCAACATGGACAGCCAGGGGTCTGTCCAGAAGAGCTCTGTGTCCTGTCGGCCGCGATGTGTGTCTTTGTTCAAGGGAGAGTTAAGTCAGAGACTCCCCATAGGCGACACAGCTGGCAGAGTAGACACAAGGTTTTGCTGTATTATTCAAAAAGAAAGGCATAGAGAGCGTTTCCTCTAGTCTTCCTCCACAGCATGAAGGGAATGAGAGCAGCATGCGTAGCATGTGTGGGGTCAGACCTGTTGCCCTGACTCCCTCCCTACTCCCCTAGTTTACACATGCGCAGTCTGCTGGCTCAGGTCTGCCCCACTGCTGGCAGAGTCCTGTGCCCAGATGTAGCACGGGACACATCCCACTGTACAGCAGACTTGCCAGCCTTACAGCCTTTGGCTCAGGGCAGTACCTTGGACCTTGCTGATGTCAGAGATATGGTCACACAGCCACACTGCCAAGCCCATCAGAGCTCTTCATTTTTCTCCCCAGATTCATGGCTAGCTGACAGGTCAATAACCAGGGTGAACTATATTTCTCTGTCAAATCCACGATAGCCCCAAATAATGAAATACAGGATTTCATTCAGAAGGCCTCCATGCAAATGAATGTGGACCCTGCACTACATGGCATGGGGAAACAGCCCCAATTCCGAGGGCAGAGCCATTACAGGTAGGATCATGGCCAGGGTCACCAGGCCCCATCCATCCGTAGAACAGACAGTAGTACCCCCTACTGTAGTCACAGCAGTGGCAGTCACTCTGCTGTTATGTGTCAGCCGTGACAGTGTTAGCCTTTTAAGCCCATCACCATTCCCTTGTAAGAGTTTGGTCTGGCCTTGATGGCCTTGGCTATGCAGAGGGGACACACTTATATGAGAGTCATCCTGCAAGGAGACAACCTAGTAAGAAAGCCAGAATGCACACCCAAAAGTGAAGATGTTAATTAGCTCTGGGTAGGTCCCCTCCAGAATGCCACCCCCATGTGTCTCAGACGTGGGGAAGACTCTGCAAGAGACCACCTAGGTATCTGACACTTTAGGTGGAAGAGATGAAGAGGCGTAGAATCCTCAGCAACTGATGACGCTGCAGCCTTGGCAAAGCTGGCACCTCCTCAGGTAGAACTTGCTGAGAAAGGTGACACGAGTGGAAAGGGAGTGAAAGATGTTAGACGCTAGCAAAGGCTGAGTCCTGCAGTTCAGCTCAGACATAGGGCTGGGAGAGAGCAGCAGGCCTCAAAGGTCCTAATGGCCTTGCTGAGATGATAGCATGAGACCTTTCCTCAGGTGATGCCTCCTTGGGTTACACCTGGGACGTCATCCCTGACAGCAGTTTTCCAAAAGCTAAGATTGCATCCAGCCCCACTCCTTAGGGAGCAATCACCTGTCTTTTTCTCCATGGAACTGCTGAATCTGATAGGATTATTTTTTCTTCCTCTGCCAGCACAGCCAGGTCATCCCACAAACAGACTTAATTTTGCTGGAACTGTGTCTATTTAAGAGCTGGCCTATGGCCAGGTTCCTGTTAGGGTGTCTCCTGGCTTTGAGCTCCTGCATATGGTTGTGATTTTAAAACAAATGAGCAAACAAACAAAAACATCTTAGCATGAAAGAAAGAGAGAGAGAGAGAAAGGAAGGAAGGAAGGAAGGAAAGAAAGAAAGTAAGTGTGGGAGGTCTGGGTCCACAGCAGTGACACGTGATCCCATGGGGGAACTCTTTCAGATGCCCAGAGACCTCAAAGATGGTCACGAGTCTAGATGAGCCAGGTGATGGAAGCCATGTCCTTACTTCTGTGCCTCCAGCAGGCTGGAATGGCACTGCCTAGAAGCCAGACAGTTGTCTGTCGTCTTGCTCTCCCTTGACTGTGTTGTTTGTTTGTTGTCTGAGTTGCCAAAGGGCATCATAGCTGAGGGGAAACTGTTGAGGGCTCCAACCTCTGGGGTGTCAGAGGGGGGGGCTGGGTAGGAGGAGCCCGCAGGGCAGATAGTTGCTGTGGCTGGCACAGTCACAGATTTGAAGCAAGGGAAATGGTGGAAGTAAATGAGTCTTGGGGATACCACAATGGCCTTCAGAGAAGGGTGTTCCTCATTTGAAGAGACTCCACATAAGATTTGGTAAGAAGAACAAATTAGGTCAGTCCTATGACTGATTTTGACCCATTTGTTAATACAGCTTTTGCAAAACTTGTTCTGGTCACCTTTAAAACATTTGTTTTCATTTAAATGTCTTGGGGGCTAAGTCTCTCCTCAAAGTATTTGCACTGATGTCTGATAATCAGTGCTTCTCCTAATGGGGGGTGAAACGGGTCATCTGTAGGTTTACGATTTTAGGAAGGTTTGAGGAAATCAGGGTTAGAAACAGCAGCTGGCTATGGTAGGGGGAGGAGGCAGTTTCCTAGGACTCACCTGCTGTAATTAAGACCACCCCCCCATCTTAAGCAAACAGGAGCAGGCGGGTAGAGATACGCACTGATGGAGAAGACTGTCCCCAGAAGGTTCTTACCACACTAGGGCACGCTAGGCTGGCTCACCAGTGGCTGACAAGCTGAGGTCCTGCCACATCCCAAGCTGACTGTCTGTCTCTTTCACTCTCTTCTGCAGGCCTACACCATCCAGGGACAGTACGCCATCCCCCACCCAGATGTGAGTTTTCACTCTGCCTCTCCTCTCTCCTCCTCTTCATTACTGTGTACCTTCCTGCATGCTGCTGTTAATTGCTACTAATATTAATATTACACAATAATATTAATCGATTTTCTCCGTGTCTCTGACGTCTGTTGTATCCATCTGACCTTGGATAACGTTTTAACCTCTTGGCACTAGTTCTTGCTTGTGTTGAGGACTTGGCCTGATGTCAAATTGCTACCATCCAGGGCTTCCCTCCCGCACACGGGCTAGCTTTTGACCTGTGTCCTGCCTACCCCCACCATGTGGGTGCTACATGCTTGCCTGGCAGTGTGGCTCACCACCTGTGGCCAGCATGGGCAAGGCACTTTCTGGGCAAGTAAGTTAGGTGTCACTGCCAGAACCATTCCCTTAAGGTGTCCTTTTAAAAAGGCATTAAATATGCCTAGGGAAGCAAACTTGCCCTTGGAGAGCCCAAACTTAAGCATGGATTCTACCCATGCACAAAGGCCTAAGTGCTAAGAGCCAAAAGGGGGTGGGGGACTTTCACTGCTTCTATAGACAGTAAGATGCCAACCGTGGAAGTGGACTCCTGGGTCAGCCCTAAGCCTCTCTAGCTGGACCTAGCACCTATTCTTTGGCCTCGGTCTATCCAGACATCTCCTGTGGCATGATGGTATGATTGTATGATTGTATTGGAGAATTAAAAGACTCCCAAAGGGGGCCTGTGGGGATCAGAGGGAGAGTCTTCGTCTGCCTGGTGACTCACCTCCAGTGGAGAGCTGAGTATGAAAGGAAGAAGAGGTGATGCTTGGAGTAATGGTGACACTGAGCCCGTAGCAGCAGCCATGAGAGAAGGTCATCCTTCAGGGGCTTTAGAGATGCTAGTAGGTAGGGCTATTCTAGGAGATGCTGGGGAAGATGAGCAGCATGAGGAGAACGGTGTCCAGCCTCGTAGTGTTGGGAACTGAACCTGGGACCTCAAGCATGTTAGTCCAGTACTCTACTGCATAATGATATTCCAGCCTGTGCTACCCTTCTCAACCTGGGTTGAACATTTGCTGGGGTCAGCAGCTACCCCTCACGTGTGCACTGCTCGGTGCCCTGAGACATGCTAACACTATCCGGCAGGGGAACCAGTCATGCTGCCATTCTGCAGACCTTGGCTTTTAAGTGGGATGGGAAATAGATGTGTATCAGGGTAAGATTTGTAGGCAGGGCACAGGGGAGGGGGACTTAAGAATTAACTAAATAAGTATATAAAATATGGATTAACTGTTGTTACATGAAAATTCTGGTAGTGGAAACTACATGCTGCTATTTTTTTTCCCTTTTGATAAAAGACTACACAGGTAGGAAAATCCATGCCCAGGCACAGCCATCCCCACAAGGCCATGTTTGATGGTTCTTGGTTGTAGACTGGCTGGGACTGCTCTGTGTGAATTCATAGCATCTCGCTCTCAGACCATCACAGCAGATATATCTGCTCTGGCTATTTAGATGCTGAGGCTGTGGGCCTCCAGGCAACTACCTAGCGCATTCACCCTGACCAGACTGTACCACTGTGGCTTGACTCATCCTGCCCTCAGTTGCCAACGCTAAGTGGAAGAGGAGCCTATGTACTCATTACAGGCAAGGCCAACCACTGTGGGGCTGATAGAATTGAGTGAAGGGGACCGGGAAGGGCCAGAAAATAATTTCCAGAATGGCCCAGGCTTCCTGTGATGTTGGGGCAGGCATTTCTACCCATGTAGGAATATACATGTGCCGATGCAGACTTGGAGGCCAGACTGTTGGGATTCAGTGATGCTCTGGAACTCAAAGCACAGCACTAGTACCCTGGTGGAAGGCTGTTGGTGAACTAGATTAAGGATTATCAGTATTTAACCCAGCAAAGGCAGGCATTTAAGGAATAACTGGAGGGTGTCTTGTGGGTTTTCTGTAGCTCAGGAACCTGAAGCTCTCAGTGTCCCTTGGGCAATGTTGTAGACAGTGGAACTGGTGGAGCCTATTTAAGGTCTGCCTGATTTACAGACCAGCGAGGCATGCATGCGAGAGAGAGACTGATTTTTCGGGCTGATTTCTGTGTCAGTGTGGTACTGTCTCCTTTCTCATATAGTTCTCAGGATCACTTACTGGGTCATTCACAGGTTATCCCAGCTTAATTCAAGCTAATTTACAACTGTTGTTGTTACCCCCTGTGTACTATGAGGTTTGATGTATGCTGTGGTTTGGATGAATATATCCTTTTGACATCATATATTCAAACATCTTTGAAGTTCTGCCTCATGAGTAGATTAATGCACCTACAAAGCATTTGGGGAACTGAATTTGGGAACTTTTATTTCTTCCACCATGTGAGGACATAGCATTTCAGGTGCCATTCTGGAAAATGAGGTGGCCCCTTACCAGACACAGAATTTTTTGGCACCTTGATCATAGATATCCAGCTTCCATGCTTGGGAGCAGCAAATTCATGGTGTTGACAAATTGCCCCCTTCTAAGGATCTTGCTTGAACAGCAAGAATAAACCTTGGCTATTTGTCATGAAATGGCTTTTCCTATGGGAGTTATTCTATTTTCTATAGCAAGAATATGTGATTTGTGAGCAAAAAGTAGAACTTCTATAAGTACCTTTCTTTCACATACAAAATTGAAGACTTCAGATAATCCTCATGAAAGAAAAATGAAATGACTATCCAGTGACATGGGTAATAAGGACCAGGATGCCTTTTATCTAAGCCAATTGCTTGGGAGGATTTTTTTTTAAACTTGAATTTTTTTTAGAATGCAAATATAGCTAGTAGAAAATATTACTTAAATATGAAGTTTATCTCAGCTACAGCAACAGTTAACATTTAGCTCTTTAATTACTTACCTGAATATGCAGGCCCACAAATCAGACATGGAAACTCTCAGGAGATTCACCCCTTAGATCTGAATATTCTTTATCCAGAAAAGAACGTGCACCTTTTCCAGACCCCAGATTAGGCAATGCTTGACAGTGACTCTTGTTTAGAAAGTATCTACCGACCAACCCTCAGCCTTCTCTAGTACCTACATGCCACCTCCCATAGATTTACTCAGGATTCTGGGTACTCTCTGAGCTCTCAGGACTCCAAGACATACTCCTGAACTACAGAAACCATGAGGGGCCATGCCTAGCATAGTCCAGTCCAGTTCTCTGTACCGAGAAGCCTTACGAGATGTCCGTGTGCCTTTACACCCAGTTCTCTCAGATGGCCACTCAGCAGCCTTGGGTATCTGCACGCATTCATGTCCATTTCTCTAGAATTGCCACTCAGCAGCTTTGAAAAATGTCCATCATAGACCTTCTGTATCCAATTCTCTGTTCTGCCTCTGTAGCCTTCCTTCCTTGGAAAGCATCTAGGCACCTTTGCATCCTATAAGCATCCATCAAGTGTGGTTTCAGAAATAAGAAAGGGAAACAGCGCCACGTCCTGGCATCCAGGAGTGATGCAGAAGGCACACAGAGCCTAGACAGACAAGTGGGCAGTGGAGTGGTGGACCGCTTGGTCCCTCACGTCTATGTGTCTGTCACTCCTTGAATCAGTGTAGTTACACCAAGAAGGAATTAGTTTCCTCTGGAAGAAATCACAGATGGTCTCAGTGTTCATGGAGCCATGTCCTGATGAAGCCATTCTGAGTTGAGAGTATCCTAAGTTGAAAAATGTCCAGCTACCCCTAACATACTGAGCATTCTGGGTAGGCACTGCTGCACCAAATGTCTGTGGCTTACCCTGCGACTGAAGCTGTGTTGGGAAGCTGCGGTTCATTGCTGCTACCCAACGTAGGGGATGATGGGTCGTCTGTTTGTAGTTCATAAAAGGATCAAAATGCTCAGTACAGTTTCTGTTGATGCGCAAGAGCATCCCAAGTCAGGACTGTCTATAGTGAATATCAAAGCTACCTTCACAGGCATGAATCTCTTACCTCATCTTCAGCCTCCAAGTCACTCCCTTTCTTAGCATCCCCATTATTTAGAGGAGTACTGAAAGCAAGCAAATACGGAAACGACAGTACCGTGATGTTGACAGAGAATATGGCTCTGTACTCTCAACCTGGCTCTACCATCTCACCTGGGCCCTGTGCTCTTAGTCTACCTCTCCTGCTCTAACCTGCACCTTATACCAGCCTGTGATATGGGCCACAGGGCCATCAGTTTCACATCCCGGGAGAGGATACTCTTAAGGATCCCCTTGACAGGAATCTCTGAGAGTGAGTGGGAGAGCTGCCATTCCAATGTGTCTGCAGCAACCACTAAGGACCCTGGGGATGTAAAACTTCTTGGCCTGGTAAGATGTTTGTTCTTCAGTTAGTACATCTTGAAATCGTAGAGGTATGAGAAGATGTGTAGCCTGGATGCTGCACTGGAAATGCCCTTCATCCTGGCATTTGAGGTGATACACCTTCTGAGCTAGATTGCCATTGTGGTGAACAGAGGTTGGTGATCCCAGACACTGCAGAATGTTTCATGGCTACCTAGTGTGTTTCACCTCCTCCTTGTTCAATAACTCCTAGAACCCCCATGGCAGTGGGTGAGGATGCCCTTCCCACTGACAGTGAGAATGGAAAGAGCTAAAAGCACTCCATGGCCATCAGCTGCCACCAAGCTGTATTCTCATCCTGGAACCAGGCTGTTCAATGTTGTGTTGTGTTGTGTTGTGTTGTGTTGTGTTGTGTTGTGTTTGGCGCTACCTGCTGGTAGGGAGGGCAAGTACAGTGTGCCTCACAAAACTGAGGGTCCAGGTAGCCTTCTGTTGGCTGAAGTTCAGCCTTTTCTTCCTCTCCCTCGGCTCCTTGGTGGGTCTTTCACTGCTGAGCCAACCAGTGGCTTGGCTCTGGCCCACCTTCAGCCTTACAAGCCCCTGCTTATTTCCATTTGAAAAGCCCATGAAGCACGCTTAAGGAGAGTGGACCCATTCTGTGCATCTCATTAGAGCCCAGAAGACAGCAGGATAGAGGGGCGCCATGAGGGACGCCCTGGAAAGTCTCTG